CCCCAAAACCCCAAAACCCCGCGATTAGTAATAGTTTGATAAAAAGGGGGGATTGACATTGTTTATTATAGAATTTTAAAATTTAAGATTTAAATATAAAATAATGATACAAGTGAAAAATTTTTCACCTATCACACCCTTATCAATGCAGAAAAGTAATCAATCAAACAATTAGTGTGTCAAACTAATTCAAACTAAGCTAGCATGTTAGATAAAATTTCCACTAATCATTTCTTCACAGTTAAAGTCATATCTCCATATCGTAGTGATGAAAACATGCAAGAAATGCAATAAATTTAGACTGAAAATCAATAAAGACAAGCTCCTGAAGCAATAATTCAGTCAGGGTTTAGAATGCAATCTCCAATAAAATTATCTTCGATAAGAAGATGTGCAGATGAAAAGAAACATGAAGAAAATATAGAGAATTTGAGGTAGGAAATTAAAAAGCTTGAAGAAAATCTTAAAGAGAGCAAGTAGAAGTTGATTATGGATAGAATCATGCTTAAAAGGATTATTGATGATAATCAAATAGTAAGAAATAGAAATAACTTTCTAAGTTTATTAGCTTAGGAAAAAATTGCGTGATATTCAGATAGAAAATCAGAAATTAGAATCTAAAAACTAAGAGCTAAGGCAAAGTAACGATAAAAACAACTAAATCATTCGAGATTTATCATAAATTCTTGAGGTAAAATTTATCTTAACTTATGGTATAAACCAAGTTTTGAATAGAATTTAGAAAGAAAACAAAGGGAAACGATGCTTGAGTTCAATCAGAAACGAAATTCTGATCGTAAATGTCCGAAAAAGATCAGATCTCCGATGTAGAAAGCTATGAAAATCTAATCAGAAATCACCCAAGGAATAAAGACTAGATCCAAAGAAGCAGTTCTTGTAAAAGGTAACCAGGTTTGTTAGAGATCTGTTTAATATGGAAAAAATGAAGATACATAATATAATAAATAGAAGGAAAATAGAATTGCCAAGTAAATTTCTTAAATAGACAAGAAATCCAAAGCAATCAAGAAATCAGGCCCTTAGCAATTAGGATTTATAAGAGAAACAGAAACTAAAAAGAAAAATTTAAGATGATAAAGTGATAATTATGCTTAATTTCAATTATAAAAATCATAATAGAGCATAGTAATCACGGGGTTTTGGGGTTTTGGGGTTTTGGGG